CTGTCTCACTGACTGACTGCCTACTGTGTGACCCACTGTCTGACTGCCTACTGTGTGACCCACTGACTGACTGCCTACTGTGTGACCCACTGACTGACTGCCTACTGTGTGACCCACTGACTGCCTACTGTGTGACCCACTGCCTGCCTGCCTACTGTGTGACCCACTGCCTGCCTGCCTACTGTGTGACCCACTGACTGCCTGCCTACTGTGTGACCCACTGACTGACTGCCTACTGTGTGACCCACTGACTGCCTACTGTGTGACCCACTGACTGCCTACTGTGTGACCCACTGACTGCCTGCCTACTGTCTGACCCACTGCCTGCCTACTGTGTGACCCACTGACTGCCTACTGTGTGACCCACTGACTGACTGCCTACTGTGTGACCCACTGACTGCCTACTGTGTGACCCACTGACTGACTGCCTACTGTGTGACCCACTGACTGCCTGCCTACTGTGTGACCCACTGACTGCCTACTGTGTGACCCACTGACTGACTGCCTACTGTGTGACCCACTGACTGTCTGCCTACTGTGTGACCCACTGACTGCCTACTGTGTGACCCACTGACTGACTGCCTACTGTGTGACCCACTGACTGCCTGCCTACTGTGTGACCCACTGACTGCCTACTGTGTGACCCACTGCCTGCCTACTGTGTGACCCACTGACTGCCTACTGTGTGACCCACTGACTGACTGCCTACTGTGTGACCCACTGCCTGACTGCCTACTGTGTGACCCACTGACTGACTGCCTACTGTGTGACCCACTGACTGCCTGCCTACTGTGTGACCCACTGCCTGCCTACTGTGTGACCACTGACTGCCTGCCTACTGTGTGACCACTGACTGCCTGCCTACTGTGTGACCCACTGACTGCCTGCCTACTGTGTGACCCACTGCCTGCCTACTGTGTGACCCACTGACTGACTGCCTACTGTGTGACCCACTGACTGCCTGCCTACTGTGTGACCCACTGCCTGCCTACTGTCTGACCCACTGACTGCCTGCCTACTGTGTGACCCACTGACTGCCTGCCTACTGTGTGACCCACTGCCTGCCTGCCTACTGTGTGACCCACTGCCTGCCTGCCTACTGTGTGACCCACTGACTGCCTGCCTCCTGTGTGACCCC